GTTACAGAACAGACTCTTTTCTACTATATTTCTTATCAGACAATGTCCACGGAGCAATCCTGAGTGGTTTTAATGAAGTGACGCATACAGATCTAGTATAGTGTGACCGGGAACAATCCGATACTATACTGAACTATTTGGCTTTTGGTCACCCCAGGCACTTTTTCCTTTTGGAATTCTTCAGTAAGTATAAAAATAAACTCCTTTATTCTCTAAATCTTAAGTATTCCGGTTAGACCTAAATTTTTCCTAATCCTGTGCTGGTTCCTACAATCATTTATTGGCAAGTTTTATGTTCCATTACACTGCTAGAATTCAGCTCATTTAAGTCCCTTTGCACTACTGTTTTCGCGCAAAATCCATCAACCTGGCATTATTTGTGAAATTAGAAAAGTCAGCTGGTTAAAGTAATGTGATTGATCGCCTATGCAATCATTTTCGTTAACTTAGGGTAAGCCACGTTAGGTCATTCAAACCCCAGCTTCTTCCATACGGTGGAGCACACGTTTGTCAGATCGCTTTGCTGAGAGTTCATACATTTCATTTCTATTCTTAATATTGTTGATTGAGAGTATCAAATGCTAATTTTCAGTCCCTAGGGATACTAAGGAAACCCATGAAGGAGTGCCCAAAACCATCTGTTAGTAGTCTCTAGAGCGTAAAGTGTACCTCGTCCGGCCCAGCTGCCTTAGCTCAAATTATCGTGACTAAATGGTTCCACAACACTTTTCTCGGTGAAGAATTCCTCAGCCATACAAGGGATAAGAGTAATCTTGATGATGGTGACCTGATTAATTTTGATAGAGTTCGCAGTAGAATACGACATACTGAAGTTACAACTGATTCAGATGAAGTTGAAAAGGTATTGTTGAGTTATAAATAGAGGAAAGGGACGTGAAATATGAAAAACAGAAATACGGAGAATTAGATCACTTCTGTCATAATGAGTGAACAATTTAGGGATCTGTTTTTACTCGCGTTTGGAATTTCGGGAGGCCGGTAGAAGGTAACTGAAATATGCTCAAAAAGTGCCAAGGTAATGGTTTTATAAATCAAAATTATCTTAGTGGTATTAAGCTGTGATTTTTATCCATAAAAACCAATCACCGCGCAGTTATGGTATGTGTAACTCATGGGTCACTAAAGATGTTACTAATGTTAAAAGCAAACTAGTGTTAATTCTAGAATGGAACTTGCAAAGAAACAAAGCTAGTTGAGACCAGACAATGTTTTCATTCTCTGTGATCAGTTGCGAATTCAATATTATGTTTGGTAATAAGATCGTGTACTTTTCTTGGATCTTTGGAGACGGACTCTTTGTATCTGAAAGCTACTGAAGCATCTTCCGACATTTCCTCAGAAAGCAAAACGTCTCCGTCCGAGTAGATGGGCTCTATCTCAGCCACTTCCTGTGAATGCCGGTGTTTCCCAAGGTTACCTACTTTCGCCCACCCTCTCTCTTTTATTTATCAACGATCTTCTATCCAAAACTTCTAATCCCATCCACTGCTTTGCCGGTGATGCCACTTTCTGTTGTTCTTTCTTACCACACACACCATCAAGCTGCTGTCAATGTCGATCACGATCGTAATGTCGTTAGTGCTTCTCCTACCTCCGATCTCGGACTAATCACCGTATCAAGCTTTACCAACCATGTGTTTTAATGCTTCCAAAACTTCTCTCCCCTCTATCTCTCTTAAACTTTCCCCCGACTATCCTCAATTAATTTTTGATTCTCTACCCCTTCGTTCCACCAATTCTCTCCCCCTCCTGGGTTTATCCATAAATTCTTCTTTTTGTTGGTTCCTTCTTATTTCTACACTAGCCTTTCGCGCTGCGTGCAAATTCGGTTTTCTATTCCGCTCAAGGCATTTCTTTACACCCAAGCACCTTCCAATTTAAACAAAGCTGAAATCCGCCTGACGCTCGAATACTGCAGTCACGAATGTGGTGGAGCTTTTTATTCCTCTCTTTCTTTCCTCGACCGTGATCAACGTAAAGCCATCCGGCTGATCGCCGAACTGTCTTTAAATTCCAACCTGCAATCGCTTTCTCATCGCCGGACAGTTGATTCGTTATCCTTTTTCTATCGTTACTCTTTTGGCTTCCGCTCCTCCGAACTCTCTTCTGCGGTTTGCCTTTCATTGAAATTTTCGCGTCCAACTCGTTCTCAGGCGGGCGGCCATCCTCATCAGGTTTCTTTACCCAGATGAAGGACTTCTATCTTTCCGTCTTTTTTTCCCAGGACTGCGAAATACTGGAATACTTGCATTTCTGCGTTTCCAAGCATTTATAACCTTAACCTTTTCGAAAGCAGAATTAACAAATTGGTTCTTACATGAATGTTCCCCCAAATACTTCCCCCTTACAGTATATCATTGATTTCGAGGTTTACCCCTTTGGCTGTAAATTACTGTAAATCACAACAAACATCAATGATTCTGCAAATCAAAGAAGGTGTGGGTCACAAACTTTGTAATCACAGATGATCAGCAGGGACATCTAAACACGAAGCAATCACAAGAGTATATAATAATATCTATTTTCGCGGACAGTGAATGCTGTTTTCCTTATAACAAACTTTATAATAGCCCTGAAGATACCCGTAAACGTTTGTTTTATGGGGAATTTCACGGTCTGTCCCAAAATTATCAAAAATAGCTATGCAGTGGAAATGGTAAGTTGGGTTGATCCCAATTCTTCCACACTACCATATGTTGCTTTTGCGATATAAATCAAAGAGACAAGGTATCCTTCAACTGACAGTATTTATACACTCGTGTGGATAAAATCAATTATTTTGACAACGAGTGATAATATCAAGTGTTTTCAACTAAATATTTGGGAAATTCTCTCTATCATCATCTCTCGTTAGGTTCTCCAATTTAGATGTCGGGCGATAAAAATTCCAGTGTAACCAAAATTAATAAGAGATTCAAACAGCACTAGAATACTACAAATAATGTTTCTTATATCGAGTTTGGAGAACCTTAAAAGTCGTGTCATGAGAATCTCGTAGGTTTATTTAGCACAGGTCTAAACAAACCGTCGCTTTTCAACTAATCTACCGAGCAATAAGAATATACCGTGTGATAAAGTGGAAAGATCTTGCACTCTGAAAAGTGCTATGATAGACTCACAAAATTAAAAACATGCAAATAATTAGCTTCTACAACTTAGAATCAGATCCTTTGAACAAATGGTTAACCAACCAACTGGATGACTAATCTCAAAAACCCAATGCACGATGTACAAATAAACTTAATTGTATCAGATAGAGAGCTGAAATTCGTCAATTATTATTTATTAACTAAGTGTGACATTTGATGGAAATTTGATCATAGACCTATAGCAAGTTCAATGCAAAAAATAACTGAGTGCTCCGATTAATCTATGGAGTGCTAACGCTTCTCAATAAGGTAAAACAAACACAGCCTTATACCTGTTCGGCCTGCAATTTTTTTGTTGCATAGCCTTTGAAAGATTATTTACAGTAGGGAATCTTTCATACATGCAAGAACAAGTGAGGTCGATGGTGTTTCATAAAGAAGGGGAAATGTGCGAAGCCCCACGCACCGAGAATCCGAGAGTTTCATATAAAGTTGTTCACAGATTCAACTTTATTAAGTGACTCACGAATTTATGTTAACCGCGCACAGGTGATGGGTTGACTAATCTTCCGGATAGACGGGGCTACTATGCTCGGTGTGTTGTCCTATGGGTATTATGTGTACTCACTATACTCACTGCATTACTTGAACAAGTATTGAACATGTCAAACTGATTTTACTTACGCAGGATGTTGCTTTGAAGAATTTAGAAATATTTGAACTCAGATCGTACCCTTTTTTTCTTTTAATTTTTACTTCCTTTTATTGAATATAAAAAGATACAATTTTCAGGAAGGGGGAAGCGGTCAATCCGAGGGCTGCCATTTAACACACAATGGGGAAATTCAGATGGTGGTGGGGATGGGACTCGAACACATCCCTGAGGCGATCAAATCTGACCTACGTCCGAATACCAAGTGCTGCGAAAAACATCTCGTACAGGAGAAACTTATATCTTGACATGCATAACATATGTCACCAATATCTCAACATATAGAGGTCAAGCACTTAACGCTAGTGCGTGAGTGTGAATAGCTATTGATCCCTGTCTTACCTCAGTATTCGATTGTCTATTCGTATCATCACACTCCTATAGTGAAACGTAGACGATGTTGCACGAGAACCGATAATCTGCAATAATCATTGTGCTCGTTGAGTGAAGCGAGGAAATCCTCGACTGTCAACGATGCGTCACGGTCTTATTCTCTATGGTATACGATGCATCTACAAGCTTCATTCACTCAATCAACAGACCAATAAATTCATTGTAAAATGTTTGAACTGCTTGTGTTCTGCATAAATATAAATAGTAATTGCAAACTATATATAAAGACTCGGCTGCTTGATGAGTCACAAAGGGGTGGAGTTAACGTCTAAAAAAAGACTCACAGTGAGTCTCCCAGTTTTCCCATAGTGTTAATTCAGAATAGAAGGCAACGCTTATTCGTGTACAAATTGTCAGTCCAAATATTCGTCATTCTCATCACATTATTGTGAGTAAATTGTTTGGATTGCGCAAAAGAATGTGATTGGCTGTTTCTCTCAACCAAACAAGACCTCTTTAGTGAATTCTAACAGTTACGTCTTTTTCCCTGTACTCTGTATCCCGACCCCTTCCTATTATTAATATTGTTACTATTGTTGTGGCGTTGACACCATGTTTTTTCTCAAGCCAGTGTTAAATATATAGATATATCACAACAAGTAGTATGTGAATGACTGGACAAAATTTCCCTCGAAGCACACGACCGGTTTCGCGGTTCTTGCCGCTTGTCAAGCATGCTTATCCGGTAATCTTTTGCCAGTTCATTCATTTACTCGTACCCAGGAAGTGTATTTTCGTCGCAACAACCTTGTTTGCAACACCGGGTGACCATTGAATAGACAGCTCTTTCAGAGTCAGTCAGTCATTCAGTCTAGTCATTCACATACTGCTTATTGTGAAATATCTTTCCAAGACCATCAGGTCACGTTTGTTTCGGTTATTAGCATCTAACACACTTAGAAAACATCGAATCATAGCATTGATTCTCCAATGGACTGGCTCTGAAAGAGCTGTCTATCCAATGGTCACCCGGTGTTGCAAACAAAGTTGTTGTGATGAATATATATATATATATATATAGTGAATTATTGTGTTCAAAATGCTAACTACGGGAAAGACAAATCTACCATCGGATCGTTCCAATAATTATCTGGTGGGCTTGTGGGAATTCGGAAGTTTTGTTCGAAATGAGAAAATTTTCTCTATGTAAGCCACTTTACCGATGTCCTGACCGTTTTTTGTAATACATAACTTTCATCTTCCCGGCACCGCCTTGTGAAATTATAACAATTGCAATACAGCAAACTAAAATGAAGCCAATTTCCCTGATGGCTGGGAAACTCACAATATGTATGGGCTAAGTACGAATGCGTAACATGGGTGAGGAATGAGCCTGTTTTGAGGGAATAAATAGCGAGATGAACCTCTTTTGTCAAAGTATAGAATACATAGCCCAACCGCGTATGTACACCTTTTCAAACATTTTCACCAAAGAAAAAGTATTCAATCAAACAACAGTAACTCGTCAGATTCATCCAACAGAGAATTTATACTTTAAAGAAAGATTATTATATAGTTCTCCTAGAAAAACATTTATGTAATATAAACAATTCCTAATGTTCATCAATGCAGGATCTTCAAAATCGTACAGATTCCTTGGAGCTGGAGTTGTATCGTAAGGAAGCGCACATTGGCATCCTGGAACAAAAGCATAACCGAATTGATCAACAGTTGAAAGACAACTTGCGTAAGTCCGAAAAAAGCTATGCTCCATTAAATTCATTTCAGGCAAGAAATCGGTAACAAACAAACTTCAAACATTAAAATAAATTTATTTGCTCATCTACCTTATTAATTTAGAGTTGGTAACACTTGTTCGTACGATATGATCTCAATACTGCTAGGGTTTGAGTTTCGAATTTGTTCTGTGGCATCCACTGCCTCAGTCACATGACAGCATTCAACCGTTGTCACGTGAAAAAGAAGAAATATTTTTCAGCACAATGAATAAATATTTGCACTAAAACGAAAGTTATGCATCGCTTTATTTTGAGTCTTGTTGAGGTGTGCGATATGTATCTATATTTTTTTGTTGGAATCTGTTTCGTTTTTATTTGAAATAAAATCATATGGCAATAAGTGATAGTACATCAATCTCTTCCGAACCCTACATCCCCCTTTTGAAAACTTCAGGTTCAAATAGAGTTCTTAGTTTCACTACTCAGACAAGAGAAGTAGTTAAAAATTATAAATTATTTGCGTTGATTTATGTGTTGCATTGAAACCAGCTTTTGTTTTCAGACGCATACGCACACAGCCTCCTTCTCATCCGTGCACACAGGTGCACATCTATACGCTGAACACAACGCAGAACGGTGAGTCGTTCTGGATACAGCCCAATGAACGCGGTTGATATGGTCAATCAATATTGGTCGGGGATGTCCATTACGGAACGTCACACGCTAGCGGCAAACGGTTCCGAGTTTCGCTTCATGCAATGCGACTGCATTGGCTAAAAAATATTACCAACTAATTCAAACAATTGGATAAGCATAAGGGAATCATCATCATCGTCACAGAAAGCATCAAGTAGATACACAAAGTGTCAGATCCGAACGACGTTCGGAGTGTATCGAAAAACCGATGCGCCATGTGATATGTTTTATATAAGTTGTAATTTTGAAAACAGCGATGTCGGTACAGGTGAAAATAAGCCGACATTTCGGTTACTGTAGGTAACCTTTATCAAGGTGATTTCACAATCGAATGAGTCAGCAACAGTTTGCCAACTAAACTCCCACGCACTGTGTGTGCGCGCGCGTTTGTATATAAGTCTGTGTGAACGTCACCGATCTGGATCGGGCGTTGGGCGCATCCGTTTATGCAATGTTTGTCTGTTGGATCGGGGTTATCTGAGGTCAAATCAGCGTTAGGGCGAGTGCCGGCAAGTGACATTAACGCAGTCCATGAAGTAGATGATTTGAAAACGGTTCTTAGTCTTTTGTGGTTAATTCACTTTGTTTTCAGTTTTACTGTTCAACGGAAACAGTGCCATTTGTTTGTACTTCAGTATCAACGCTAAACCCTTTGTTAAATGTAAATTTTATCGCTCGAAATTTGTATGAGTGATTGAGTTCCAGGCAATCGTGGTCCCAGTGGATTTTTACACTCCAGCTAATTGAGATCCCGGGCAGAAACAGCCTATCCACCGGTTCATGTCCCCACGTACGCCCGATTATGATTGGGGGTCTGCCAGCGTGCACTTCTAAGCTGACCGACTGAGGTCAGTTACCTTGGTGTTAATTCTTGTCTCAAGCCAAATCGGTTAACCATCGAGGGTAAACCAGATTCTAGCGAAAAGCAGTCATCCCCCCGCTAAAACCCACTTGTCGAGGCGATTTTAGTTCAGATAGGGCTTGTCCACTGCACGCGTTGCGAGCTAACCGTAAAGTAGTCAAACTGACCCAAGCTTAATCAATGGTCCAATCAATTAACCCAGCCCATTCGACAGTTTATTTACACGATCAATCGACCAACCTGTCAAGCAGTGTGCAATCGATTCGAGAAGGGACAATGACGTAGCATCACATGATCTTAAAAGCCATTCAGTTGGCCACTCTGTAAATGCTTTCATGCGCATATGCTTATTTGCTATACCCGCAACACTCGCCTATGAAATAAAATGCTGTGAACTTCGGCTCCGTCACTAAGGGAAACAGATTGTCGTTCTGTCACGGTCACCCCCACCCAATATTCATTAACTGTATCAACCAACTTCGCATGGCCGTCCCCAGAATATTTCGTCGCTATCTGTGCTGTGGTTAACGCACAGATGCGCACCTGCGTGCCTGGGTCAGTGTCTATACGCTTGCGCAGAAATAAACGCTAATGATATAGATTTTTAGCTACTATCTTTGTCTGAGTAGCAAAATGGGCAATTCGGCTTGTGTGTTTGAGAAACTGATTTTTGGGAGGTGTACTGTCCGAGAGATGCCGCTTCGGTAAACTGCATACCANTACCAGACGATGGTTTTGTTGTTTACCTATTGGTTTGACACATTTTACATTTTGGTGAATGGACCTTTTCAGCACTTTGGGCAAGTGCGTACGAATAGATAAAAAATGAAAAGGGCAACCTGAGCATTTCCAAATCCGATTCCGATAAATGAGTCGATATGGTCTCATGAGTTACTCCTGTGCCTCGATCGGAACAGTAGGATAGACATTCATTTTACGAGATCATAGGGTCATTCTCTAATGCATTAAACATGATGTAAATTATTATATTGTTTACAATATAGAAATGAGTATTATTTCATTCGTATTCTTCGTTCTCCCGACTAATATTAAGCTTAATGCGGAACACGTCATCAAAGGTTAAGCCAAACTACTGAATCGCACTACTATTCTTGACCATTGTTGCTCAGCCATATGACCTGTTACGGTAAACATGGATGGACGTGTCAACTGTTGAACAATCTGTTTTGCGTTCTCAAAGCCACTTGTTGTTGAGAGGTAACCGATCGGCATTTAAGTAGCAGAATTTATATCCCTAATGATAACTATCTCCACATTTATATACGTGGAAAGTGATTACACTCCCTTAATAATGGTTGCAAACAATCGAGTGTGTTAAGACTTCACTCACAACGTTCATGTATTGTACGCATTGCATAACCATTTAATGTAATGTACATATTTTCCCTCCGAATTTATGTAGACCAACATCCGTCTGTTCCAAGCACGGTTAGTTACAGAAGCATTTACACTATACGTGAAACTAGTAGCTGACATCGTTGTTGTCCTTGATGTCGTTTTAATATTCTTGCTGTTGTTTTCTTCATTAAGTTATTCTTTCTGTATGATCGTGAGTGATATCATTTACTGACATCATTAATATTCGAGCCTCTGAATCAACCCCAACTCATCATTTGCAGTGAACCACGACAAAGAGACAGATGAGCTCAAACGACAGTTGATCACCTTACGTGGAGAGCGTGAAATTGCGCTGAGAGATAGTCTGCAAAAGGATGCCCAACTGACGGAGCTCAGAAATGATCTGGCTCGACAAAAATCGAGTTTAGCCGCGGCAGAAATACAACTGGACCTGTTGCGTGCAAAGGTAAACTGGTTCGAATTTGTTCATATCTCATCCGTACACACACCGTTCTGCCATGTGATTTGTTTAGCTNTTAGCTTGAAAATGAGACTGCTCGGGTGAAGGATTTGGAGAAAGCGCTAATAGACAAGAAAACGCAGATGCTCCAAATGAGTTCTACCTTGAAGCAACTTGAACTGCAACACAGACAAGATCTGTCCAAAGCGGATCTAACCACGAACGCAGAGTTTCAGGCAAGTGATTGCTTATAAGTAAACACTACGTAACGACTGAATGAATACACAATAAAGTAAATAACCCCAGTAAAAGAATAGAAATTGCCAGTCTTTCGCCAAATTCGTCCAATGGCACGTATCTGTGATAATCGGAGTAGTACTGAATGTAGGAATACGAGAAACTGTAATGTACTCCTCAGAACTGAATTGGCTCCAACCCGAACTGCGGACACCAATGAAATACACGAGGAATTGTGGCAGCAAATGCGTATGTTTATTGATAGAATTAGAGCATGTTTTATAGAAGGGAATGGGACGTATGATTGGTTAAAGGACCGTCGTTCAATCACGTAACCGTTTGCGCCGACGCATCATATGTACTAACTGGGATGTCATGTTCGCCCGGTGCACCATTGGCCGAGCTTCCTGAACGGTGATTGGATGACATGTAGCTGTACCTGGTCGTGCCTGGATTGCGGTCACGAAAGTCTGGATCACCATGGTATCCTAAAGGTTCCAGACAAAAAAGGACTGAACAGCAGTGCGGATGTTTATTAGAAGAGCCCGGAAAATGCGCTCAATACTGGGGATGCATGTTTATAGGGTTGCATATAGCTTAGGATATTCCCGGATAGAAACTACGAGAATACCGACGGAGCGAATGGATCAATCAGATTGCAGAATTCTATTTGTTATCTTGGATTCTCCCAAACCGGTAACAAGGAGAAAACACCAGCAATTTCCCAAGTTGATGGTTGGATCAAATCCATTTTCCATTGATTCTGTGGGAATTCTAGGGGGAAATGAGGTTTTCCCCGACCACAGTAATACCACATTACGCCATGTGTTCAAATCCCGACACCACCGCTCAACTTTCCCATTTTTCTATTTTCCTAGACAGTCTTTCATTGACTGCAGCCCCCTACATGAGAAGTTACTGTTGTATTGTTTAGTGCAGAAATAAAAAGAAAATTATACAAACAAATCCGTCAATTATAGAAAGGGCAAAGTAAGCGTGACCTGAAAAGCTAGGGAAAAAAATGCATAACCGTTCCGATATTGTTGGGTCTCGTTAGCAGTGCGAATCCATCGACCCGACTACAGATAGAGCCCCGGGACCTGAGGTAAAACGCAAACCAAACATCTACTCAAACACCGAATACCTGATCAGAGAACTTTTAATACTTTTATGCAAGAGATAGTACAACCGATCTATTCAAGCTTGTTACAGGCATCCGATACCTAGCTCATCTCAGCATTAGTTTCCGCATTACTGTCAGCAAAGGTTAATTGATTATGTTTGCAGTAAACTGTCTCGCTTTTATATCACTTGTATCCTGAATCAAGGCCAGGTTAGAACGGATGCAAAGACAATTGAGTGATTGCTTCTTAACGGCCGAGAACGATCGATTCGTTCGTGATAAACAAGCAGCAAATGTGGACAATCTGATTCAAGAAAATGCAAGACTAACAGCCGACTTGATTGCTCTTCAACGTCAAGCAGATGATGTAAGTCTTGTTTGATTAAAGATGGAATCTATATATAGTTTGCACAACTTTTTAAATGGACTACGGTATACAACCATTTAAAATGTTGATGATAATTTGCCAATTAAATTTCGTTGAACAAGAAGGACTTCTACGGTTAGCGAGATCTATCTCTAAAAACCCGAGAAGGTGAATTCCACCTCGGTTCTTTCATAATGGATTTATGTGACATAATTGCTGTGGGTCATAACACTGCATGAGTCGACTTATTTGAGAGTTTCCAAAGGAAATTCCTTACTGAGTAAGGTATACCATGTACCACTTAGTGCCTCCGAATCATATGAATCCTTACAGAATGGGGATTCTAAACGGAACTTTCAGCATCGATGATTATCTCTTTTTGAGTCCATACGGTCAACGAATTCGGATCTAGGTAATCAGTGTTTATCTATCGCATATCGAAAATACACAGAATAAAATGAGAAAATAATTTCTAACGAAATTAACAATAATGACAAAATAATGCACTCTACTCCCATCCCCCAACGACCCTTCACACTGCATGAGTGCAGACCCGGACCGCACTAGAAAGGATCGAGGAAAGACATAATGAAGAACTCGCGGAATTGAATGCATTGAGGCAGCGTGAGAAAGACCTCCTCTTCGCTAATGCCACTCTCCGCGAAGATCTCAACACGGAACATAGAAGAATGCAAAACTTAGAGAAACAGGTACAGTTGGCACAAATGCTTGGCCGCAAGCCGGGTTTATATATATATATATATTAGCATAAACCACCTGATCACAAGTTCCCTAGGATATATAAAAACCATAGTTACCATTACTATTCATTTGCGTTTGACAAGAACCATATTTACTAGGTATTTTGTGATAACCGTCTCTTTCCATGCAGTCCATTTCTCACCAAAATCGACGTTAATTCTGAATTCTTTAACTCAGTCGTCACGTATAGTTTCAATGTTTTCAAGTATGACGATCATATATGCATTGTGAGCTTAGTATCATTCAGAACATATCTTTCAAAAGCATATCCAGTAAGTCGCTTTCTACAGTAAAATGTATAACAATATGAATTATAAAACATCACTGCAAAACGGATTCACCACGTCGAGTGCTTGGCGTTACATGTGCGAAGCTCCCTTCTGAAAAACAGGAAACAAGAGAATGGTTATCAACCGATGCCTTTAAAGAAGTTTGATGTTTTAATACTAACTGTCATGCGATAGAGATTGTTTGGCACCACCATTGATGTAGGATGCAGACATCAAAAGTGGTCGGGTTTAACTCCAAGCAATCAGACATTAATCTGCTTTACTGGGCTACCGTCACCCATTCTTCAAACACTGATAGAAAATAATCTCGGTGGTCTACTAAGATCATTACTACTAAGGTTAGGGTAGAGTTTTAGGTAGTCGCGGTCATCCACTGGAGCAGATAGTCGACCTCCATAGATTACGCTGGTTGGGACATGTGATACGCATGTCACCAGATAGGTTGCCACGGCGAGCGAAGCTTAGTGAGGCAGGTAGCGATTGGAAAAAACCAAGGGTGGTCAAGCTAAGACCTGGCATGAGGGTATGAAAACCCTGACCAGAAGACTGGCTCACATAGGTCCCGTTAGGCTCCCTGGCTGGGGGCCTCGGGATGATGGTCGCCGATGGTTAGAGACACTGAGCGATATGGCTGGGTTTCGCAAACAGTGGCGCTCATGCATCTACTTATTATTCCTGTAACTTCAATCTAAGTGAATGCGTTGTCTTCCGCTTGAATCTACTGTCAACATTCTAACCATCATTCTGAGGTTTTAAGAAAATGGACCACCAAGACCGGCGCACGAAAGTGCATGGTAAATGGCTGTAAGAACTGGATTGAACTGAACTGAGGTCCGGGAGTAGTGTTCAAATCCCGCCACTACCACCTACATAGCTGTTTCTATATATCAAAGTACCCTTAACAGACCCAGACCCGATATTGAAAAATGACTAGATAATTGTATGTCCACTAGATAAGAAAACAGAGGTTATAATTTTAAACTTGAAGTATGATTGTCTCTTCCAAATAATTACATTTTAATTAGTAGTATGTAACATTTTTAACATTCAAAAATATCAGGCGAAACGATGATGATTAAAAATTAGTGGATTTTTCAAAGGCCAACAAAGCGATCGCACCTAACCCAATTATATTGACTCTCCTGTCCCTGTGTTATACAGCTAGAAAAACAAGAACGTGCTTATGATCACCTGCTGGCTAGACCAAGCAATCAACCACAACCACCAGTGGCACAAGTGGCTCAATTACGAGAGGATAAATCAAATCTGATGAACTATATCAGCAACATGCAACAGGAGGTAAACATTACAGAATATGTCTCAATTGTTCGTGGTAGTCAAGCAAAACAAGCCATCAGTGCCGTTCATTTCATTGCGGTTCTTATATTCTCTGTTTCAGGGTTTTACAACACAATTTACTTTCTGAGAAAGGTTGAATATTGTTTGCAAAAATACTGGTTTTCCTATTAATATCATCACTACCGTACTTATAATTATCCTCGTGTCATTGTGTTTGAACATAGTTGCTTGAAACCGTGAGGTTGAAACGTCAATCAAACACTTAACCCAACCACGGTTCGTATTACCCGTTAAAAAGGGTCCAGTAAAAACGCTGTGCTCGTTATTTTACTGTGATCGGTGTTCATCATGTGAAGGATGCATTCAGTCCGAGTCACATAAACGCCTCCATGGCAGACGCACTCTCATGACTCTTGGTTTTCAACAGTAAAGATGTACAAGTTTAGAAAATATCGAACCAATAAGCATACGTAGTGCTTTTTGGCAATGCTTTGTTATTTTGGCATTGGTGGTGCAAGAACGATTGCCCAAATGCATATCACAACGGCTTTTGGAGCGCTCATCTTCAAACAACCGTGTCTTCGCTCTAGAGGGTATGATCGCCCGCATTGACTCAATACCCTCGATTCTCCAAGAATAGATGCATGTAGCCAAGCTGATGACAAGGCATATTGTGTAACTCATTATTTTTAATTAAATAATCAAGTTCATTAGTTGTTCATCAACTCCTATTGTTTTCTGTCCCGTTTTATATAGCTGACAAGACAAGCAACCAAGCTTGATGAATTACAAAAAAGACAACAACAAATGCAGGAACAAAAGCAACAACAGCAGCAGAAAAAACAACATAATCATGAGAAGCAACAACAAAATCCGTTGGAAGGACAGTATCAACCTTATCAGCCACGACAGCAACAAATGTATCAAGAACACCCAAGACAAGATCAGTATCAGCCGCAGCCACAGCAGCAACAGTCACCATACCCACTGCAACAACCGCAACAAAATGATCAACATCAGCCNCATCAGCCACAACCACTTTACCCATTACAGCAAACGCCGAGACAAGACCAGCAGTCGCTACAACATCAGCAACAACCGGCATACGCACTACAACAAACGCCGAGACAAGACCAGCAGCAACAACAACCATACCCACTGCCACAAACACAACAACAGAACCCGTACGGACCACAACAGCAAACACAACAAACACCATATCCGCAACAACAGGCACGGCCGGATCATTACCAAGCACAACAATACCAACAATATCAGAGACCTTCTAGTCCAATTATACCACTCAAATCGCCATTACCGAGCCCAAGACAACAAAGATACGGATTGCAATCTCCCGAAAGATCACCTACTGAAACACGACAGGCATCCAGTCCAGTTCAGTTCCGGGCACATACATTGGACCACAACAGTACCCAGCCGAGAACATCATCTCCTGTGGTGAGGCGAGGATTACAATTTGATTGAAATTATCACCAACCTGAGAGGACGAATAGGAGATATACATGTGCGCCTCAAACTACAGATTGTGTTCACTGCTATTACTGAGCTCACTTCCTACGTCACACTGACTTTTACATTTTGCACCGATTTTAGAAGTCTAACAATCAAATACAAATGTTCAAATTATTAACAAATTTGTAATTTTTTCTCAGCGACTGAACGTAATCCGGATTTCAATCAGCCTCCAGATATATGAACCAAAGTTCTTTTCAAGGTAGCTACAATGGGTGCATAGAAAAACATCTACTTCCCAGCAAAAACTTCCAACACCCCCACCTCCGCGTCATTCATCGATCACCGCTTACAAACACAACTCAACAAACGGTTAGTTGCTGGATTATTCCGATGTATTCTCATTTTCAAATTAGGTTGTTGACCTATATAGTTTGCACTTCCATGTTCCGGTTTTGTTTGTGATCTTTCGACTACTCTTGGAGTTGATCTGTGGTGGAAAGATTACGATGAAGGGGAAAAGCTGAGTAGTAGATAAAAAAACTGAAGGTCGATAGACTGTTAGTAAAGGATATTTGACTATAGTACACAAAATATGTAGGCACCCACTGGAGGAATCCTGGGGTACTAAATTAGGAAGTATAAGAAAACCTTTAAAATCTGTCCAGAATAATATATGTCAACGAAACACGTGATACATAACAAATCGGTCGCTATTTTATTGCAACCCAGTATTGACTTTCAAATTTCTACTTAAAGTTGAATCGTAGGATGTTTTTCATCGGTCGACTTCCATGGGGGATGCGAGTCGGCGTCTTCGCTTCGGCTGTTTTCTGTATTGTATGATCACGGTGCGATAGGCAAAACAGTGGGTAAATTGGGCGTATGTGAACGGTGTGGTGATACATCAATCAGATCGCGTCGTTGGTATTTCGATTAGTCGATCGGACGACAGCTGCCTGATTCGTCCTAGAAACTTAGGTTCTGATCAGCTTCCTCATAGAGAACTTTATCAACTTTATCGTAGACGAAATTCTCGAGAACGTACAAAGCAGTTTCCAAAACGTAGGTATTGAATGAGCAGCTGGGAGAAGCTGTACGTTTCAGATTACGCCGATGACATCGTCTGTCTCTTTGAATGTACGGAGGACGCGCAAAACGCACTTGGTAGGCTAACAAGTGCGGTTGCCACATACATTATGTGCTTCGCACCTTCAAAATCCAAAGTGATGCTGCAGGACTGGGTGTTACCTACTCCCGCTCTGAAACTAAATGGCCAGGAATCAGTTATTGTGGATTACTTTTCCTACTTAGGTAGTTTCGTAACCAATGACGGATGCGCAGTGGAGGAGATAGCGGTTCGCATTTCCAAGGCCCGAAGAGCTTACCTAGGACTGAAACACTTGGCGTAGACGCGACGTTTCGCAAAAGTTGAAAGGTCGTGTATATAGTGGTAGTGGCGCAGTGGTTTTGTCGCTGTCACAGGCGTGCTCTGGACCCTGTTTCGAGGTTCGGGCCCCGCCAGCGCCACCCAATTTTGTTGGTAGGCATTTCTGCTGTCAATACCACGCCTAACCTATCGCGGCCTTATGTGGTTCGCCACTCCATGTCCCGGGTTTAGGGTGCCGGTTTCCACCACTAAACAGCAGGTCCTCGTGACTATGGGGTTCGTTCCGTCTGCTAGTCATCACACTTTGGTGTGTTATAAAAAATTTTGCTAGCGTTCGTTCAGTCCTGCTTTATGGTTGTGAGACCCTGAATTTGCGAGTAGAAGATATCCATCGACTAGAAGTTTTCGATAATCGGTGTTTACGTAGTTTAGCGCCCGTGGATGGGAGCGAACGGGTTAGTAATCTGGAGGTTATCCGTCATGTGTCTGGAAGTCTATCAGGTATAAACATCGAATTCAGATTAGTAGACTTTGCTGGTTAGGGCACGTATTCCGTATGCCCAGCTGCTATATACCACATCGCACCTTATTCGCTGTAGCCGCTCCGGGCTGGAGGAAACCACGTGAAGGTTAACAGATGACGTGGAGGCGAGGCATGAATAAATGCACAGAGCCATTAGGTAGAGTAGGTGTCTCTCGCCTTCCAGGCTGAGGTCCGACAGACTCCACAACTTGTTGGTTGGAGACATTGAAGGATATGGCAGCGAACCGGCATCCGTGGCGTTCTCGTTGTCGTTTCTTATTAGACAAGAATGCTTGAAACGGTATGTATGCAGAGTTCAATTGAGTACACTGTGTGTTGACCATAGAGGTTCACCTTCCCCCTTCTCTCAAAATAGGTCCGATCCCTGTTCACCTTAACTTTTGCCACTAACCTTGTATGCATGGCGAGTTTGGCAGCGATTAGCGAAGTTCGCTTCACTGGATTTCGCGGTACGATGATGATGACCTGCGAGTTAAGATAATCTGCAAATACGACTATTTTCATGAGTAATGGAGGATTTGGATAAATGTCAACGGAGACATTCGTCGTGTATATAGCAAATTGCAGCGTGGAATAAAAAGTTAGGAAGCACTGGACAGTTGTTTTGTTCTCTTTCGATCTCATCAGCGGTTCGAACTCTTCGACCCACCTGGGGATCGAACCCAGGACCTCACAGGCAGAGCGCAAGCAGGTTACACACTCGACCACTGGGCAGCTGATCAGACTGTCTTTCCCATTTTCCATGTAGACGATATAGCACAACCCATCTTCGCGAGCTTGTTGCAAGCCACAGACCTCGTTCATCTCAGCAATAGCCCCCAACAAGGTCGTAGCATTTACTCACTTATATTTTGTGTATCGTAACGCGATCATATAACATTGTCAGACGGTGTTCTCTCTCCTCCGTGTGGGTTTTACATCGAGGCAAAAAATAACACAGTGCGCATGACGCGTGTTGAACGTAGCTCACAGTCCTTTTCTGCATCGTGCCGTAATCGCAACTGACGCTCCAAAATTAAAAGCCGTCAAGTGGTGTTGAAGAGACAGCAACAGATACTATAAACAGAAAACACCTGTTTTCGAATTTAAGGTGAATTTTCCCAACGTGAGAATAAGCTAGCTACTTATATGAAGCTATGACGAATCTTAGGAATAGGATGAAAGGGAGTGCATCTCAGTCTTTTTCTTCTAGACTTCACACGGTCAATTGTTAACTGTAGAGCAACAGAAAAGTGACCACCTTATTTGATGACTGAGACGGAATTCGCACCCGTCAAGATGCTTCCAGCGGACATTTTTAGCCTTTCTTTGGTGGTCCGCGAGTGTTAATTGAGTGAGATAGTGCTGACCCATCTAAGGCTGTTCTTCTGTCTGCGGCCTGGAGGCGGACCCGGTAGTGCACAACTTCTCAGGCCGAAGCTCCGTAAGAGCCAACCGTCCCCGTAGTCCTTAGTATCCGATGGTTCTATCGCTTCATATTACCGGGATCGAGAGCGAAAATTCTGTCACCTCACTACTTGCACTTAAATGAAATCCTAGTTAAAATGAGTTCAACTCCTCCGACATTTTCCCCATGCAACTTCACCATATATATATATATATATATATATATATATATGATAAGTAGTATGTAAATCACTGGACAAAATTTTCCAATAATACATAAGCGTAGTGAATAAACTGAAATGAAACCGGATGATGTCTTGTATAAAGGCCCTCCGTACACGACTCCAAGTGCATAAGGATGAACATGTACTACCCGACCCTCGTCCACAGCTCCGCCAGCTGTTATGCAACTCCCGAAAACCTCAGTATGGTCGGGATGGGTGGTTTGAGTTTGGACTGGTCACTCCTCCCTTGCACTTAGCGAACCGCTCCCATACGACAGCGTCTCAAATAGCCACTGGTGATGAGGCCCCACTTACTGCCTTCACGTTTCGGAGTTGTGTTCTCACCAAAGTAAGAGGACAAACGGCCAACATCCGGTTTGGTGAACCACTGGCAGTTCACCTATGGGAGTTGGTTAAAAACCCTGATTACAAACCAAACAAGAGAAGGCACACACACCTTCCCGGTTGTAGCGGTGGTCACCGGCTCCATTGGGAATCGAGGTGTATTTGGCACCTTGGACGTTCGACTCCGTCCAAAGGGCGTAGGATCCGATGAACTGGACACCAGACCATAATGGACTGAAGTTTCAAACACCAACCCGCAACCTTGCGAGTCAGGCTTCGGCTAGCCGAAGGCTCCGGTTGTGGATTCCTCAAGAGAAATCACCTGCCTTGGTCTGGCAACCTGGCAGTATTCAGCCTACATGCAAATCATGGAATGTTCTTCTTTTTTATAAGCATTATTATTATCATTAGTTATTTGGCGTCAGACGTGTGGGAAATATGTATATGCAGCTCCCGAGGTAGGTATGGCTTTCGACTGAGTGTGGTTATTCAACGAAAGTGCAGGAATGGTTTCCTACCAATCTTGCAACAACACCTTGTTCTTCGAAGGTGCAAAGGACATACCCAAACGAGTAACCTCGATTGTAAAACGACTCAGCTACTCTAGAATCGTCGGCGCGTTGTTATCGAGTAAGATGAAAGCCGCACAAGCCCAATGACGGTGTCGTGACAAAGGCCGGTGTGACTGGCCTTTTAAAACTAAAGCCATTGACCCCTCACTTCCGAGGCGAGGGATTACTTCCTGCTGCCTTGTAGTTCGCACTTGATTGTGAAAAGGCTAGCGATGCGCCCTCAAGATAAAAAAAACGCTGAGTGACTCTGGGGACGTCTCTCGCACCAAACTCCCAAGGAACTCCATGATCATGATCATGATTATGTGTGGAGCTGGCTTATCCTCTCCAAGAGCCAGCCGCAGTAAAGTTAGTAGGTAAGACAATATCATCGGCAAACTCTAAATCTACGACTGTTTCCAGCTCGACACCTGAGTTAGTTACGCTGGGTAACGCGTTTTGCAGAACATCATATATGACAAGGTTGGGGACATTTCCGTCGAACATCTTGAACAGCAATTATGGGGCGAAATTGGGAAATCGAACCGATACCACCACCTGGGAGAGATTATTTGAACGCTTGAATTGTCTTCACTGAACATAACGTTGACAATTCACACTGAAATACAAAACAGTATCGCCTTTCTGGAAGTGGTTTCAGATACAACGGATGGATCCATCAGAAGATCTGTGTACCGAATGCACACATGGTCCGGATAAAATCTCCATGAGTCTGGTTCGAACGCCTTTATACAGGGCGCGACAGATTTGCACAGTGAATAACATGGATAACGAGTGTGACAGGATAATAAGTTTTACAATCTAACGGATATCCGAAAAGATTCATCTCAAAGCAATCATGACTCAACTGCACACGGGAAAAGACAGCAGGTGTAGACAAGATGAGAGTGGTTCAGCAACCGTCCTACAAAAATGAGGATATCAGCTGGTTGATTACCAAGAGCTTAAAATCAGCCATTAGGCACAGCTACTACACATCGTTATTTTCACAAC